CTTCGGGCATGTCAATTTCTATACGCTCAATTGGGATTAGGGTGAGATCGTCTATTGAATGGTCGTCGAGGTTGAAATGATTAGAAACAGGCTTGTCTTTCTTTAATTTGATGTCTGACCTATGAGCATTAAAGCGAGTTCGTAAATTATTCTTAGTTTCTCCTACATATTATTTGGGGCATTTCTTGCATGAAATTAAATATATTACATTCGAATGTTCACATGTTAGATGTTCCTGGATCGGGTACCTTTTATTCGTAGAGTTGCTTACAAAATAATGAGTTTCTGATATAAAGGGACATGCTTTGCATCTACTGGACAAACATGGAGCACTTCTTAAACCTGGAGGTACTTCGGCATAAAGTCTGTTTTTAGCTGCTATCTGTGCTAAGGTTGAATTTTTTATGTTTCGTAAAAATCGTTTAGAGTACCCACGCTCTTTCAGTTTTGACAAAAACAATCGTACAGGCTTGGTTGAAATCAGAAGATCTTGTACAAATTCGATGAAATCGTAAAACTTGTGACTTAATTATACCAGAAAAGGTATGTTTTGGGTGAAAGGAGCTCTTGTGCAAGAGTTGATGAGTATCAGTTTCTTTGAAATACACTTTAATATCCAGTTTATTTGTTTCTGCTATGGAATCTCCCTTAAAGACTGTGGTATCGAGAAAGTCTATGCTTTTGTCACTTACGTTTGCGATTAGTTTGATAAAAGGATGGTGGTTGTTGAGAATTTCAAAGAATTCCCAAAACTGTTCGATAGAATAAGTCCAAACCATAAAAATGTCATCCAAAAAGCGTCCGTAAAAAGTGGGTCAAATGGACAGAGGGGCAACACCTCACGTTCCCACTCTGCCATGAAAAGGTTTGCGTACGATGGGGCGAATCGTTTGCCCATTGCTGTCCCTGAAGTTTGTAAATATGTTTTACCATTAAATGTGAAATCGTTTCGACTAAGACAAATCTCTAAAAGCTGTAGAATTGCATCGTCGGGTCTGTTTGGATCTGGGTTTCTATTAAAAGCTTTACGAACTGCCGTTAAACCAGTAGTGTTATCGATATTGGTATACATACAAGAAACGTCGATAGAAATTAAAATGGCATTAGAGGGAACTCGAAGATTTTTTATTTTATTGACAAAATCGGTTGTGTCTTTAAGGTAGGCGCGATGTTGGCATGTTAGAGGTAGTAAGAAGTGATCAATGTATTCTGACACTGCATATGACTCACTACCACAGTCAGATATAATCGGGCGGCCTTTAGGGATTTTGTTCGAGTTATACCACTCCTTGGTTGGATTCTTATGGATTTTAGGCAAAGTGTACAAATGTCTCTCGCGACAATCAGGTTTGGCAGACAGATAGTCATTGTCCCGATATCCAGGCAATTCATCAGGACATTGCCACGTATTAAGACAGAGGGATTGTCTTTTGATATAAAAAATAATCAAATATAATAATTCAACATATTAGGTTTATTTATGATGAAATACAGGAACGGCTTATAACACAGTTCAAATCAAATCTTCTCACACCATGAAATCAATGAATAATATTGATAAAGTTACAAGTCACTGTAACTGCGACTGAGAACCGCAACTGGTTAGAAAAAACAGTTCCTGATTGTAACTTCCAAACTGCTGTCAAACCAACAGAACTCTCAAAACGAGCTAAATATTAACAAAAAGTTTTTATAGCATCCATGTGCTTATTTTCAACAGGAAGTACTAATCATCTAGGAACACTAGTCTTTTCCTCCAGACGTAAATGCCAAATCAATAGACAATATAAAAATGCAAGATTATCCAGACCAATTAGATTTAGACCACAAATATTAAATTATTAATAAAATTGGAATTAGACCACAAATATTTTCTTACATTGAAATAAACTTAAAATGGTAGCCACAGTCATATTATTTCTGTTTGAGATAACTAGTTTTGACTAAATCGGCAAGAATATTATTAATCATGTTAGCAGTTTCTTTGAAAATTGGTTTCGGTAAAATGGCATAATGTTTAGGAATATTCAGTTGATTCTCTGCTTCTGAAACGTAATCCTCCCTATTCAGAATGACACAACATGAACCTTTGTCACTCTTTTTAATAACAATGCTATCGTCTTTCTTAAGTAAGTTTAACGCTTCACGTTCCACTCGTGTGAGATTAGGCTTTTCGTGTGTTATGGAAAGGTTCACTGTTTGGCTATTCAAACTCGCAAATGCTTTCAATATTTCAGGATGGATGGCGGCCTGAGGGGGTGTCCACGTGGATTTAGGAATAAACATTGTTCTAGCACCACGTGGGGGGTGGTTTCGAAAAAAATATGTGCAGCTAAGATTTCGTTGAAATCGTTCAATGGATGGTCGGAGATAATTCAAGTTAGCTATCTTTGGTGTGGGAATAAACTTAAGTCCACGGTCGAAGATTGAATGCTGAAGGGGTGTGAGAATTTTGCGGCTCAAGTTAACTACAGTTTGGCCTAGCGGTGGCCTCTCAGTATTTTTATCCCCAGTAATTAGTTTAAAGACTTACTCGATGCTTGAAGCTGGTGTATCCAAAACAAATAAATGTTGTTTGCTGTTTCTGGAGACCAATGAAGATTATCAACTGGTTCGAATTCTTCTTCGTAGGGTGGTAAGATTGTTGCGCTGTTGATACTGGACTCCATCATCATGTTGTTGAGGGTGCTGAGGTTCTGTTGTGCTTTCTTCGAGATTTTATTTGAAATGGGTATACATGTGAAGAGGATCTTGGAGTTTGGGAAGGTTTTGTTGGCTGTGGCGATTAATTTCTGGGCTTGGTTAAAGGAGGTCTTTGGTATCTGATCACGGTTGTTGAGGCCTACATGAAGAATAATGGTAGTAGGTTTGGGATCATGGTCGTATGATTCCAGGATTGACTGTATGTGATGGATTTGGGCACCGGGGTAAGAATGTATTTCGGTGTCTGAACTGGTTTTGGTAATTCGATTCAGGTTAGATGATCCAATTATTAAGGTAGATTTCTTTAGAGCAGGTAGTTTCCATAATGATTTGTCCTTGGTTTGGTGATAATACGGTTTGGTAGCGGATATAATGGTCGTCGACGGTGTGATTGGTACCGGTTTGGTACTTGTTAGAATTGTAGCATTGGGAACGGACTGGGATCTGGTTCGAGGAGGGGAAGGTCTGGATACACGTCTCGACTTGGATGGAGACTGAGAGGTGGTTTGCTGGTCCAAAATCGCACAGAAGGAAGAAAGGTTGGCGGATTCTGGATCACGTGGTGAAGATTCAGATGGTGTGGAAGGGGAAGACGAGTCTGAAAGTGAAAAGAGAAGGGGTGTGCCCTCTCTACGAGAGCGTTTACCTATGTCTGCTGGACTAGGTGAACTTCGGGCTCGTTTAGGGGTTTGATTCAACTCGTTAACTAAAGATATTGAAATAGCTTTTCTTCATCGTAACACTGTAGGTAGCATGACTTTAACTGGAGAATCCACCACGTGGCCAATCACTAACAATATTAAACCAGCAAGATATTTAATAGTTGGTTTCAAGAACTTACCAGATTCTCAAACGAATAACAATAATATCTTTAGAGTGGCAATGAACCAAACTCAAGATCCTTTAATCCATAAAGTTCAAGTAAGATTAAACAACGATAATTATCCTAACCAACCTTTAACAATTAATCCAACCACAAAGGATTATAATGAATTGTATAGAAACTATAAAAATATGTGTGAATTATTCGGAAATCTACCTCAGTTTGAATATGTAGATTTTTCACTTAATCATCCAATCTTCTGTTTTGATCTTTCAGCTCACCAAGAAGATCTTTTCACAGGAGTGAACATAAATATTCATATTGAAAAACACAAGGAGATT